CGAAATGTATATGAAACACATGACCAGTATACTTGTCAATAACCACAATTCTACCAACTCTTTATGAAGAAAATATAAGTCAAACGAAATGCACCAATTAGCAACGTAAAGGCCAAAAACGAAATATTTGAGAACGCCCGAAAACAAAATATTTGAGAATGCTCGAATTAGAATAATAACAAATATGTTTCAAATTATTTTTAAATAAATCAATTCTTATTGGATGGATATTAAATAGAAAACAAATGCATATTTTAATCTAATCGGATGCTGGGCACGCCTTTATGGAGTGCAAAAAATGGGAAAAGTGTAGGCAAAAACTGGAGATAGTATGGCAAAATATTTCCTTCCCAACCAATTTCATAACATTTTGATAAAAAAAATATATAGTGCGCTATACAATAAAAAAAAATTGTAGAGATAACTCATAAAATGTATATGACTAATGTACGTGTATATAAAGTCAACAAATAAACAATTAAAAAATCTAGTCGTAAAAATTCGTTCGTAAAATCGAAAAATTAAAACGTACAGGAATAAAATTGTTAGTAGCGTTCCAAACGAAACAGTGACGTCACATTGCTACGTTCACCAAACCTTAGATTTTCCTCATTATTCCGAGAATATTCGTCAATAATCACAATTCTACCGCTTCAATGTTAACAAAAATAAAATTCTCTCGGATATATATATATTTATCAATAAATAGGTTCCAAAACAGTTTAAATAAATGTATCCATATTAAATGCATATTTAAAAAAAAACAACACAAATGCAGAAGTATATCCTTTCGTGAAAAATTCATTCCCAAAATCACAAAAACAAAACCACGGCAGTAATTTTTAGTAGCGTTTGATTAGAAACAGGAACGTCACGTCGTTTCGTCCACAAAACCACAAAGTTTTTCCTCATTATTCCGTATAAAACATTTCAGCAGAATCGACATTAAACAACACCTACGAAAACTGGTTCCGAGAAAATACAGAAATTCACCTAATATTTCAGAAGATAAGTGACACCGGACGGAGGTAGAATATATTTGTATATTCTGTTTAGCTTACCTCCTTCATGGCATTGTGCCTTTGTGCCCACCATGACAACGGTCACTTAACAAGAATTTATTTGCGGTAGATTAGGGATTAGGGACAATAAATCGATTCATATTTTAAAAATTAAAGAAACGTTTATCAAAATAAAATAAAATAAAAAAAACGACCGTATATATATGCTTCCGTTGATGGAAACTGAATAAAAATGAATGAATAAGTTAGTGTGGTTGGTTTAAGAATATCGAAATATTTTTGACATAAAATAGCTATCAAGTTCTAATATGGATTTGTTGTTAGTTCGATACTGCAGAAATAGAACACTTTATTTAAGCAATAATAGATACGAAGTTTACCTGCCTATTGCTTAATGACAACAATGATTTTTTTGAAAATAAACATCTCGCTACCAACTAACTTCATAATATGGTTGTGTGAAAAAAAATGTTGGGCTACATACCTATATTATATCCAACAAGATACAAGTATAAGTAGTATAATTATGATTAGAATTAAGTATTTTGTAAATGACCAATGTCAATAAAACAATAAATAGAAAAAATCTAAATTTAAATACAGTAATTTACCCAAACGATTGGCACCTCATTTTTGAAGTACGAGCAAAAATTTTCTGATGTACAGGATGAAAAAGGCGCAAATATAATTATAAAAAAATAATCAGAGTATTTATAAGCAAATAAAACCTATCGAAATATTATATTTTTTAATATATATTTATTTTAGTTTAATGCCGAAAGCATAAAAAACGCTTCAATCAGGTAAACAATATCAAAGAAGTATTTACCGCTTGCGTTCTGAAAATCACAATGAATTTTCTTAAAAAATAAACAATTTAAGTAACTTTATTATGAACAATAATAGATATAATATGTACCTGTATCTTGCTTCACTGATAATCACAATGAATTTTCCAAAAAGATAATAAATATAAATATAGTAATTAGAGTATTTATGAGATATTTTTAACCAAAAATTACAAAAATTGAAGACAATTCATTATGAGTAATAATTCAGTAACAGTACATTTGTTGCTTGCTCACAGAGAATTATTAAAAATATTTTTTTTTAATACAATAATTATTGTATTTAAGACATAATAGGCGATTACATCTGAAATTTTAAATTTGTGGCCCTGTTTAAAAAAATGTTATATTGGACTATAAATAAATAATTAATGAAAAACAAAATTTAAAAAATTCTAGTAACACAGAAATAATTACAGCTTTCCAAACATTAAAAGTGTATATTTGATAAAAACAACAAAGTTTATAAAGATCTATGATATGTTTTATTCATCCGATATAAATTTGATGATTCAAAAATATTCTTATTATTTGGAAGATTTTCGGTAAAATTTATCAGCAAATAAAAATGTTACTATTTAAATACATTAAATTTCATAATATTTTAAAGTCATATTTTAAACTTCTTTTTTTCGATAATATTTTAATGTATAATATTATTATACTAATATTTTTATGCTTAAATTTTGAAAAAATGTATATAAATGTCAGAATTTATGTAAGACTAAAAATTTAACACTTTAGTGTCCTTATTTAGAGAACAATTTAGGAAACAAACACCAAAAATTATATATATTTAAAAAAAAACTATTGAATATATAATTGTATCTAATATATTGTTTATATAGTTGAAAATTATTTTAATCGACTGAACTATTCAAGACTTGTATAAAAACTGAAAAATTCATTTTTATTTAGTATAAAATTTTATTTAGTATAATAAAAGTAATAAAAGAAAACAAGTTTTAATCTTCACTTAAAAATTATTAAATTTTGTAATATAAAAAAAATTTAAATATTGTTAAATTTTGTAATATATTAAAATTTCAACTATTATATTGCATTAATAAAGATAACACCTTTTAATTTTTTACACCGAAATATTTCTAAATTATTTTGTTTATATTCTAAAAATGCAAATTTCCGAATTAAAATGTTAATTAAAAAATAGATTGCTATAATTTTGTTAATTCGTCGAGTTATTGAAAAACGTAGGCAGTGATCTAAATATAATTGTAAAACTAATACGAGCAATATATGAAACTTATTAAAAGATTATCAGTATTGAAAACCAAAACTAAATAATATATCTAACCAAAAGTATAATTTACAACAATAATGGCATCATCGCAAATAGCACTTTTCAAGAGAATTCAATACGAGTTACAGACAATTATAGTCAAGACTATTATATTCTCTTAAAATGTGCGAAATAACTAAATAACTATGAATTTAATAAAAAATTCATATTGTAAAAATTGCGAGAAAGAAATAGTTTTTGGGAGAACATTAAAATAAAATCATATTCGTTATAAATGAGTGAGTACCTACTTTTTGCACAAAGAATTAAGTACTATGTTTTCGAATGAAACTTGGAAAAATTGGTAATATATAATTAGATTGGTATTACGTTTTCATAAATGCAATATTTGCAAGAAGCCATAAAGGCATCTTCGATCTTAGTAAAACCGAGGAAGTTAATTATAATTATTAGAAAATAATTTTAAAATAGCAGGTGAGAAAATATTTTCACTTGAAACAAATAAATGAAGTATAGACATTGAATGTCACTTGAAAATTTTGCTACTTATTTTACATGCCAAAAATCATTTGGTATTAACACTTTCTAATAAAATTTTATGAATTGTTGATCAAGATAAAATGTATTGACCATAGGTAAAAAACTCATATATTACTATAAAAAAAATTAAATTGAAGAAAAATATTGAAATATAATTGTAATTTGGCTATATTTGAATGATTTTTTGTATGCTAAATATTAAACAAAAATTGAAAAAAGCGGTACTAATATAGCTGTATACAACGAGATTATTCATGCCAAATTTATTATTTTGATATTAATACTTTCTTATGAAATTTTATGAAGTTGAAAAATTTAAAATATATAAATTTATAATTGTTATTTATTTGAATGTGAATGATTTTTCGCACATTAAAAAATATTTAGAAAATAAAAAACGATATATTTTAGCATATTAAATTAAAATGTCTGATTGTGAGCATACATTATGATAAAATCATATTTGATCGGATTCAAAATTAAAACACAGGATTAAACTTCGTATTCTTATATTTTCGTTTAACCATTGACATTATATAATTATTATCGACATATAATATATATTTACATAGAAAACTGGAATGTTTATTTGTACAAAGCTCTATACATGTTTTTATTTTGTTCAGTCGTACGGCAACTGTACACAGGTTTTACTAAATATTATATAAAGATTGTGTTGGTATACACATGGTTGATAATCCTATCAAATTAAAATTATTTTCAGCTCCATGGTGATAGACTAGGTATAATAATTAAGAAAGAAGAGCAACAAGGAATAGTACTGAGCTAATTAATTTTGAACTTAAATAGTACCCAATTTGTATTAAGATTGGTATTCGCTAAGCCAAATGCAATAAAATTATTTGTAAGTTCATAATGAATTTCAAAAACATAACATATCTTTAATAATTTTAAATTTAGTACAACTTTCAAATTTATTTGCGAATTATTCTCGCACTACAAATATTTTGTTACAATTGGTGAGTGCCGTAAAAACACTAAAATAGTTCCATAAAATTGGCTTGTGAACTGGGCAAGAGTGAATTTTAAATATAGTAAAAATTGTATACAGAAATTTAAAATTACAAACACGCATTGATCACATATGTTTCGTCCGAAATATCAAAAATCAAGCACACTTATATTGAATTTCATATAAATAAAATTTAGTCAAATTAAACATAAAAAGAGATATGATAAACTTCATTACACTCGAATTTCTTGAGCGCTTTGTTTCACAACAAATATGATTTAAATAAACTTAATATCTATCATTGATTAATAATCCTAATATATACACAGAAGAGCATCATACTTTTTTTTAATAAACCAATAACTTCATATACTCTTATTATATAGATAGTACTCTGTCATAGTTTTTGTTTTACGTGTCAAATAAATCTTTAAATGTTTTTAATTTCTTAACTATACTATATACATCACACACAAACACGCGCACAGATTCCTGGCGGTATTCACAAAGGCGGAATGTCAATATCCGTACAACTGGGATCGTGCCGAAATTCGAGCATGTCTCACATGTGCGCGATCGGCGGCATTCTGGCTAGAGGCGCCGTCGCGCTGTCGCCGCCCTGCGTCGTCCCGTGTTGGTAATGCTGCTGCTGCTGCTGGTGGTGGTGCAAAGCGGCTGCTGCGGCGGCGGACGACGAGTGGTGAAGCGAAGGATCCGGCAAGTGATAAATGTTTATTATCTGGTTCAAATCCGACGGACTCTGCTGAGAGTACGGATCACCGCCGCCGCGCGGTAGCTTCATGCTAGGCGGCGTCGGCGGTGATACAGGTTCGCTTTTAATGCTTGATTCACTGGGGCTATTGCTTTGACAAGACGACATTTGTTGTTGCATGTTACTGTATGGAGATCCTGGCTGTTGCAAAGATCCGTACGGTGAACCTGGTTGTTGCAGAGACCCGTAAGGAGACCCTTGTCCGCCTGGCACTACACCGCCCGCTGCAGCTTGATACATCCCATAATTCATATTATAATTGTGCATTTGGGCCATATCATACCGCGGGTAATAGCTAGCAGCATGTTGCTGCTGATAACCACCGACGGCATCGTGAACGGACATGTATCCGTTCGGCATGTATCCTCCGTTTTGCATTTGATACATGTCACGTTGAGCCGCCGCGGCTGCTTGCTGAGCGGCCTGTTGTCCTGCGGCGGAAACCCGCGACGGGTCGCTGGGTAATAGCGATGCGACGCCCAGCGGGTATTTGTCTTTGCTCTTGGCCAACGTCTTTGTCTTGCGCCTCGGTCTATACTTGTAATCGGGATGTTCTTTCATGTGAACTGCGCGCAAGCGTTTCGCTTCGTCTATAAATGGACGTTTCTCGGCCTCGCTCAAATCCTTCCATTGCGCACCCAAACGTTTAGAAATTTCACTGTTATGCATCTTAGGATTGTCCGATGCCATCTTGCGCCTTTGACCACGAGACCACACCATGAAAGCATTCATCGGACGTTTAACACGATCTAAATTTTGATTTTTAATCGAGTTATTATTATTGGTAGCGGTAGTCTGCTGCGTATTTTGTTGTTGATGATGTTGCTGTTGCTGTTGATTGCTTTGTTGATGATGCGAGCTCGTCAACGAAGTGTGGTGTTGCGAACCGGGGCTAAGCATTTGTTGCCCGGCGGTCGCAGAACTATGATGCAAATTAAGGCCATGTTGCACAAGACTATGTTGCGTAAGAGCAGACATTTGTTGCTGATGTCCGCCAGATTGTCCTAAAGACATCATGCCTAAAGATCCTAATGATCCATACGGTGAACTCGTATGACCATGCAAAGCTGCAGCCGCATGATGCGGCGGCATCGCGGCATGCAAACCGCTGCCCTTCATATCACTCTCCATCGTCAACATTTCTTCTCTGAACGAGTACAGTTTGAACTACAAATTTAAACTTGTCCGAAAACTTATAAGCACCGCTAAGAAACTACGGAATAAAATTTTCACAGGTGTTCTAAAATTATTATCACAAAACGAAACGTTAAATTCCATTCACTGTCACAAATAACTGTCTTGTCACTAAACTCAAACCAATCGGTTGTACAATGTTTGTAGCACAATAAACAACATAGTTTTTCGATGCACATAAAATACCGTTAACTAAACAAAATCACAACGTTATCACTCGAAACATGATTGTATGTATATACGCGTTATATTTATAAGGTACGACGCACGACTGCGCTCTACGGTGTACTTGAACGTTATGAAGGGTCCCTAACGAAGCGAACAGGCGGCCGTACTAGCAAATCCTGTGAGTTTACCTCCGCGCGGCGTGCGGGTTGAGACAATCCCCTCCAGTTTTACCTGCGCATAACAGCTTTGACGAATACACACCGAGATCCCGACCGTTCACGGTGTCGATTTCCCTGCGCGGGGTCAAATTCTGGTGGTGGGGTATCGTGGCGGTGCTCTGGAGGTTCGCCATGAACGCTGTCCGCCAATAGCAACATCTGCTGGAGGTTGCGCGCGCATTCAGGACAAAAATAAGTAGAGAAAGAGAAGTATAGAGTCGCTCTATTCTCTCTACGAAGTTTTTGAGGAGTTTGGCCTCCGACAGATGGCACAGTGTGTCCAAAAGTTGTGGAAATATATTACATTTAGTTTTTTATTGAGGGCTAAAATCAGGGCTGGATTAACCTGCTAGGGAAGAACACACGTGTTTATACCCATCAAGTATTAACACTAGCTGCAAAATCAAAAATACTTACTAGTCACGCTGTTCAAAATAATTTTCTCTGAATGTCATATTGTAATACGCATTAAAACTTAAGTGTATATTTATATCATTTTTGTACAAGTTCTATAATTTTGCAGTCTACTTTAAAAATAAATCAGTTCATTTATTTATAGCCTTATGTGTTGTTTAGTGTGAATACAATTAAAAAATATTTAAAAATTCACGATTTTCAAAATAATTTTCTATGAATGTCGTATTGTAATTCGCATTAAAACCTAAGTGTATACGATTCTATAATTACTAATACGATTTCTATAATTTGTCAGTCTCCTTAAATCAATCGGTTCATTTATTTATCGTATGTGTTCAGTGTGTAGAAATACCAATTTATATAAAAGATATTCGTGAAAAAGTAATACAGTTAATTAACAACTAATTATTGGATTAAATATTATAAATACTTAATATAAAAATTGTTGAAATTTTGAAAACAAATCTTTACAAAAAAATCATATTATTTGTACAAGATGTGTTCAGTGTTGCAATTGTTTGCTTCATTAAACTATCGCCGTATCATAAACAAATGGATGAATTATAACTAATTTATAATATTGTGATTTATTTGTAATAGTTTTGGAAATATAAGATTTTGTAAATAAAATTCTCATTTCTCAGTTATTCAATTTATTTCAGTTTCTAAAATTTTTGTAACGCATAAAAATAAAGCAAACTTTAGCGAAACACACCAATTAAAAATAAGTACATTAATTTTATAACGCTTTTCGCTGTTTGATTGACACTGAATTATTATTAAAAAAATACTATTATTAAAAATCTTCGGAAACATAATTTTGACACAAGCAACTTGTAATTTCTAAAAGATGCGGCAAATGTACCATTAACGGTAATATCAAGTTTTTGGACATCTTATAATATACTAAAATTTATAACACATTAAATTAAAATATTTAATTTAAAAATATTTATTGAATTCTAATAGCCATAGTTTTTGTAATTCAAATATGAAAGTGTTGTGAAATTTGTGTTAGTGTTTCAACGAGCATATAATTATATTCATTTAGTTGTGCAAATTTTAGAATATTCTGGAAATATTTGTGAATCGGTATATAAATTAAAAATTTAAGAAAATTATTGAAATACACACAATTTTATTTTGTATTAATGTGACAATTTATGTTGCGAATAATATAAAACATATTTGTGTCTAATAGTAATAAAACATTTACGTAACAAAAAATTGAACTTTGGATTAAATATTTAAATTATTTTATATAAAACATGTAAATTTTTTGAAAAACTTTTACATGAAGTTCATTTCATTTTAAACTCGCTGTATTCTCTCTTCAAAGTTTTTGTAGAGTTTGGCCTCCAATAGATGGCACAGTGTGTCTACAAGTTGTGGAAATGTAATACATTTAATTGTTTATTGAAGGGCTAAAATCAGGGCTGGATTAACCTGTCAGAGAAGAACACACGTGTTTTTACCCATTAGGTATTAACACTAGATGCAAAATCGAAAATACTTACTAGTCATGTTATTCAAAATAATTTTCTATGAATGTCGTAGAATGCGTATGAAGTACGTATTAAAATTTAAGTGAATATTTTTTTAATAAAATTTCTAAAATTTCCAAAATTTTGTAGTCTACTTTAAAGATAATTCGGATCTTAATTTAGTTTTATAAATTTTTTAGTGCGAATAATATACATGATCTATATAAAACGTATTGGTGAATAATAGTAATATAATTACATACATTTACTTAACAACTAAACTTTGGGTAAAATATTTGAATACTTTATATAAAAATGTTGAATTTTTGAAAACAAAACTTTACATGCTGTTCATTTAATTTTAAGCTAAATGTGTTCAGTGTCAGTTCAGTTCTATCTTAAAATATGGCCGTATCATAAACATTTGGATGAATTAGAACTGTATTATAATATCATAAAATATTTCTTATTTTGTCGAGAAAAACTTAATAAAGTTTTTAATTCTTTATACCGAATTAAATATAAAATTTGACTAATACCAAATAGAATATTAGAATATAGTCTACAGTGTAAAGATAACTTTGACATATTAACTTCTACATAATAATTTAGAAAAACTAATGATTTTATCAACACCAAACAACTTGTCAATTTTAAAAGATGGACAAAATACCATTTACGGTAATACCAAATTTTAAACATTTTATAATATACTAAAATTTAAAGTAATAATTCGAATAAAAGATTGTTGTAATAATAAATTAGTATATAAAACAAAAATTTTAGAAAGTTGTTGAAGATTCGTGTTTAATAGTAGAAATACATTTACTTAACAACTAAACTTTGGATTAAATATTTAAAATCTTTATATAAAAATTGTTGATTTTTTTAAAACAGATCTTTACATAAAATTCATTTCATGGTTAGCTATTTTCATCTTAAATTTTGAAAATTATTGAATTCTTGCACACAATTTAATCTTGTATAATACTGTGATCATTTTTGTTACAAAAAATATAAAACAGGTTTGTGTATAATAGTAGAAATACATTTACTTAACAACTGAACTTTGGATTAAATATTTAAAATCTTTATATAAAAATTGTTGAATTTTTTAAAACAGATCTTTACATAAAATTCATTTCATTTTGAACTAAATTTTGTTCAGTGCTATGATGGTTTGATATTTTCATCTTAAATTTTGAATCAATTATAATAATATTTCTAAATAATTATTTATAATTAAAAAAAAAGTTTTTGCAAATAAAATTTTTATCAATAATTTAAATTAGATCATAGTTGTTGACACTTTTGTAATGCAGAAAAAACGCAACAGTTTATTTTTCTAAATTCTTTTAAAAGAAAATAAAAATGAAAAATTTTAAGTTCTGCCACTTGTATAATCTTTTTTTGACTCAAAAATTCTAAACTTGACATTTACCTAATAACTAAACTTCAACCGGAACTTAAATATCAAAAATACTTTATATATATTTTTTAAATTTTCAAAAACAGATATTTACATGAAATTCATTTCATTTTAAACTCGCTCTATTCTCTTTACGAAGTTTTTGTGGAGTTTGGCTTCCGAGAGATGGCACAGTGTGTCAAAAAGTTGTGGAAATGTAATACATATAGTTTTTTAAGGGACTAAGATTAGGGCTGCATTATTCTGTTAGCAAAAAAATGCACGTGTTTTATACCCATCAGGTAATAAAATTAGCAGCAAAATTGAAAATACTCACTATCGCTGTTCAAAATTATTTTCTTAAAACCTTAATTGTATATTCTTTAAATGCAAATTCTATAATTTTGCAGTTCTTTTAAAAAATGAATCTGTTCATTTGTTTATTTTATGTGTTTTTAGTATGCAAATAATACAAATGTCCGTGTATGATGATGAATGAATTTACTTAACTAAATTTTTGTTGCAATATGTAAATGTTTCATAAGAAAAATGTTGAGTTTTTGAAAACAATTCTTTACATGCAGTTAATTTAAATTTAAACTAAATGTGTTCAGTGTTGCAAAAGTTGGATTATGTTCTTTAACACTTGGAAGAATTAGATCTATATCATAGTATTATGAAATATTCCTAACTTTTTTGAAGAGACAATTTTTTACAAATAAAATTCTTATTTCTTAAATGTTCTTTTCATATCATTGTTTTTAAAACTTTTGGAATTCATAAATAAAAGCAAATATTATTTTTTATAATATTCGCTTCAGATTAATATTAAATAGATTCATTAAAATAAATGTCTACAGGATAAAATAATAACTTTGACATAATTCAGGAAAGCTATAAATTTAGACAACGCCAAAAAACTTATAACTCACCAAATTACACTTACAAATGTACCATTTCACTATAATATAAAAGTTTTAAATATCATATTGTACACCAATATTTAAAATTAATTAGAATAGAACTAACTGTTTATTTCCAAAGATATTTATTTAATTTTAGTAGCCACAGTTTTTGTAATTTATACATGAAAATATTTAAATATATTGTGTTTTAATGGGCAAATAATTATATACATTAATTTTTATGAATTTTAGATTAATTCTCAAAATTCTTGCGAAAAGGTACATAAAATATTTTTTTTTACAAAATACCTGTATTTTTGCATAGAATACAATTTAATTTTGTATTATCTGTAACCTTATATGCGTTTTTGTAATTTGAACATGAAAATATTTAAAAATATTGTGTTTAAAAGGGGAAATAAATATATTCATTAATTTCTGTGAATTTTAGATTAATTCTGAAAATGCTTGCAAAAAGGTATATAAAATATTTATAATTTTTTTAAAAAAAAGTTTTAGTAAATAAAATTATTATTGATAATTAAAATTGGATCATAGTTGTAATGCAGAAAAAACGTATCAGTTTTTATTTTCTAATTTTTTTCAAAATAAAAATAAAAATTAACTAGATACATTGGGAAAACTTAAAATCTCTTTTATAAATAATTTTATTTATGAAAATTTGACTCAAAAATCATAAACTTACCTAATAACTAAACTTTATCTTGAACTTCAATTCAATTCAATTTTTGATAATTCAAAAAAAAAATTCATAAAGTTCATTTCATTTTAAATTCGATCTATTCCTCTAAAAAGTTTTTGTTGAG